TGAAAACCCAATATTAATAATAATAATAATATATTTCTGCATGTGCAGATACATGCCATTTTTACAGTCATGATCTATAAACTACAACATTTGTTGGTGCACAACATGCTTCCCAACTTATTAAGTTTATAGTTGTTATAAAGTAGACTCGTGGAGCGCTTGCTGCAAACCATGATCCTGAGGAGACGCGTACGTCAAGTTTGTTTCAGACGTCAGAAGTTTCATAGCTGTGCCTTCAGAGCAAGATTCTGAGGAAGAAAAAAAGAGAAACAGAAGAGCAGCAAGGCACTTGGATATGAACGTCAAACGTTGCTTAACATTATGTAGTAGAACAGGCAGAGGTATAATAAATTAGATTAAATTCACATTATATCTTGTTAGAGTGAAATGAAGTCAGAGGCTCCATATAAGTGAATGTAGTAATAAAGAACAATGAGTTGTGATGTTTGACATGTTGGAGTAAGCTCACATGAAGGAAGGGAAGTCAAGGTTGGTACAAGGAAAGCGGTTTATCAGAAGGGAGTGTGCATATAGAGGGTGAAGTGTTAAGAATACTAATGACTATATCTTTTGTTGTCTAACTTTTTCTTTCTCTTCTTTTTTTGTCCATCTACTGCCAGCCACACAATCCTAGCGTAAAAGTCCGAGTTAGCATGTTATAGGTTGTCTTAGTAGAATAGCTAATCCGGCATAAAATTGGAAACATGAGTCTGAGTGGTGAGCGTAGGAAGACAATCTATATCACAGATTGATTGACTTGTTCTCAATATGAAACATAGCGTTTGCTCAAGTCTTAGCTTTTTCAAAGAAATGACGTCAACGTCTTCCCAAATATTCGCCAACTCTACTTAAGATCCCCGCTTGCTCTCTGAGAGCGCTACAAAGCGCCTGCAGATAATCCTACAATGTTTAGCCAGGTTAGATTTTTTCCCGAATTCACCAGAACTTTCGTCGTATTCGTTTTTTCTTCACAGCAAAGGGCTAATGTGTTTGTAATTTTTACTGACGCTATGAAAAATGCAGCCATTTTTGCCATAGTGAGATTAATACTTGGTAAATTTGAACTTTTGGAACTATCCGACTAAAAGCCATTGTCTATATTTTTGTCATACAATTAGTAAATTGCAATTTTTAAATTCTCCTACTTGTAATATTTTTCGTGATAAATAAACTGTTGCCGTGCGTTGTACCTTTCTTAAGTAGCCGTTAAACTGTTACTGACCTATAGCTCAATTCTCTCATTTGTGACGTAGTTAAACCAATACCGTAACCTCGTAGTTATTTCGATGCGTAGTCAGATCTTTCTCATGAAAAAAACTGTTTAAGTAGAATCTTCCTTCTGTGTTGCGTCCCTGGTTACCGAGCTAGCTTGAGAAAACGGCATTTTGGATCAGCAGTCTACAACGGTTCTTCCCTGTTGTTATCTCACTATCATCGTGTCATTAATTAATCGACCATAGGTACCAAATAAACATTTTGGACAAATTAGTCAATACTCTTACTAAAGCCTAAAGTCAGCATTTCTTAAAACCCCATTAAAACATTTGCAGGCATTGCACTAAAATGAGATGTTTTTACGTCACCAGTACTGATGCCAACTATAACTACTGCGCTAAGAGAAGGAATTAAGACACGAACTATGATAGACAGCGGTTGTCGGTTGGAATTTTAGGCAGTGATAAATCGTCTTAGGCTGAAAGTTTGATTTTTCAAAGATGATTCATATGAACCCGATGAATCGGTAAACGCCAGAACCAAAAAATCCAGGCTTAAGGTTTTCAAAGCTTCTCAGAACACTTCGGACTGATTTTAATACATGTCGAAACTGTACGAAGCTTTATACTGTGAAATCGGCCTTTTTGACTGTCTTGTTATCTCCAATCACTATTGTTACAACCGGTTTGGAAGTTTCGCCTGCATCCAGCCTGAAGATACTCTTGGTGTTGGCAGAACAAATAGAGATTTGTGCAATATCCATATTAAAAATAAATTTACTTAGGAATGTCATCTGAAGCTCTCAACTTGAGCCACTTTGTTTTTACATTCGGTGAGCAACAAGATCACAGAGATATATACAGATAGTTTAACATATTTAAAATGAAAGCGTACGCTTATAAACAGTACTGACAAACCGAACAGACCGGATATTCTAAACCGAAGTTATACGCAATTATCAGTTCAAATGGTGAGTACTTACACAGTATAACTAATCATGCAGTATCACTTTCGATTTTTGGTACTGCAAGGTGAATTAATACAAAGTAGTATGGTACAGCCTCATCTGGTCACGATCGTGATGATAGACTGGCATGAAGGTGCAACAGTCATCATGATATCCTCTTACTTCATCATTACATCGGAGCATGATAAAGACGTTTGACCATGTGTCTGTGATAGACAGAAGTGATTGAATTTCGAATGTCGACTCGTAAGACACAGAACTGTCCAAATCGCACTCTATCCATGATCCAAGTGGAAGAGAATTCTGCGAGCAAGGTCGAGACTAATGTTCTAGGAATTCGGAATAATGTACAAAGATTTATTTACTCTGAAGAGGTAACTTTAATCAAACAACGGAACGTCAGAAATATAATTTTCTACTCATTGGGATTTCACAGAAAACATACTTATTATTAAAAAATCAGTATTGTATTAAAACATCTCAGTGCTACAACTGGAAGATATAACCGTGTTCACGGACGGCTATTATCTCCTTCATCGCTCTGACTTTAGTAACAGTTATTTTTTGCCAGTGAGAAACATTACATGTTCTATTACAACGTTGGGCGATAACGATCAAAAGAGAACAGGCTCCTACTTCTCCTTCTCCTCTGACGACCGTCTTCTAAGGTATGAAATAGTAGCCATTTGTCAGCTATCATGCTGATTATTGTGTACCATCCTGAATGACTTGGCGAAATACTTTTCGGAATAAAAGGTTATACTAAACATAGACTGACTAACACGTTATAACTCTCAGTTTGTAGTTTCAGCGGTTTGTTAACAATTTTTTTCTCTGAGGCTTTTGTTTCGTGTCGGATGTAAATTTTGCACCTACGAACATTTATTTGTTTATCAATTTCTGATCGCCGTGGCTTTCCAAACACAAATATTATGTGGAGATACTCTACAGAGCTAGTAGATAAAATCTGGAAATGATTTTAAAGTATGAAAAGTTTGTGCTGCATAAACCGTTTAATCTTTTCACTCATATCAACCGGAGCACTCCTAAAACCGGAGGCTTAGCTAGGAGTACTGAACATTTCCCCCCAACTTTCTGGAAATGTCAATAATATGAAGAAATAGTCTATGGAATTGGGTTTCATTATTTATGCAACATTGTATTATGGAACCAATACTATCTACAATGAAAAGAATATAGTGATAGTTTTTCAATGAACAGCTACATAGAAACAAGAGATCCAGTGTTCACACTGGAAAAGAAATATTATGCACCTCGAGTGACTTTTTACGACGTTTTTGTGTTTAAAGACATCGAGAAACTACTTGTATGTGACAGCTTTGACATACGCAACCGACGTTAGGCACTTCATATACAAAAGTTCCGCCATGTACTGATCTCCACGACGTTGTTGAGACGAGGTAGAACATGGAGCATATTTGAATTGAAACCATCTTTCCGCCCCCTCATTCATGTTAGTTATACTTTTCCACTCTCACAACCGTCAGTATATTATACCGCAATTGTGCCCTCATTGACACTTTTTGTGCTAGCAGATTGTTCTTACATGCATTTGTTCAAACAATTTACCACAAAATACCTCCTGTCAAGGCACAAACCAATCGACAGTCGGATGCTATAAGTCTGGCTTATGGTTTGTCGATCCAAACTAAGAAGAACGATAGAGCCAAAAAGGAACGAGAAGCGCCGTGATGTAAATCTTCACGCTGGTTTCGTCGCTAAATTAGGGTTTTGGAGGCGTTATGTCTAAGCTTGTTATTAGTTGCAAGGGATGTGTAGAGAGGCATGCTCATTCGTTGTCTTATGCGTATACATGACCGAGCGCCTCCATCTAGGTCGTGTCCAATAAAACTAATGAGGTCAGCATCAATATAGAAGACTTACAGAACTATTTATTACGGTGATTCGTTCATCGCTAGAATTTAATATATAGTATTTTCAAAAATCTCGTCTAATTAGCATGTAAGTGGTGCACATAAGTGATCGATGTGTTAGTATTAGACGTTACTGTAAAAGTTTTCATTACGAACGGGTATCAGCTATAAAGCCAAAATGCTGCGGATATCAAAGAGCGAACACCCAGGAGCGCTCCACTAACGACTGTCAGAATGACTACAATTAGTGAGATCCAGAAGCTAGAATACCACACACTGGACATTAACAATCCTTGGAGCAGTGCCGAAGACACAAGGAGAGCGCAAAGAAACCAATCAGTTTATACTCTATCGTGACTGGCTGCAAGCCCCCCGGAGACAGTACAAGGGGCAGCTACACATGCAATTCCAGAACTCAGGGGTTTACAATGTAAAGGATGGCTTGAAAAGCTAGACCTCTTTACTATATCCTACCGCAGATTAAGTGGTGATCTGGTTTTGATCCATAGAATACTAAGAAATGATTTTGAACCTCTCTCTTCCTTCCCACTAGATAGGGCTATCACTGAGAATATAGCAGGTGAGTAAAAAAACAAAGAACAAACAAAATATCCGTGGCAAACAGATTTCCACACCGAGTAATCAATCCTTGGAACCTGTTACCCGAAGCAGTAGCGTCCGCACCCTAAATTGACTCATTCAAGAGAAGACTAGACACAGGAGCATACTGGAAGGGGAATAATATAGACTGTAGGTCTTCTGTCCTTACTACACAAATCTGAATGTGATATCATACTGGACACATTAGATATGGTTGAATGAATTTCATGGTGGTTTTCAGACACCAAAAGACTATGTGAATAAGCGAATACCTTAAAATTATGTCTCATGCAATCGACCACGTGCGGCTAAAATACAGAATGCCCGCCGTTAATTTGATCGTTCAAGGTCGCAAGGACGAGCTATGTCTAGCTTGGAAATGACGCACTTTACCATTGTGTGCTTTACTTCATTTGTTCGTCTATGTGCCATAGTCTATGCTTAGAATTCTTTTTCAAAGTACAATACTTCATGTTATTCAGATTACCAAAATGTAATTCTCGACTTGGATAATATTTGCCCTCAACCTAGATCTACATATACGGTACCGTATCAAAGTGATAACTGAATAAACCTAATGAGATGGAGTATTTATTCCCTGTATCGATGCAGTGTTCATATTCGGACGCACCTAGCTCCATAATTTTTCATGAGACCCAAAAGTATCCTGAAAGGTAATTTAAATTCTTATAAATACAATATACTTGCCGAACTTTACATTTTCTTAACAACGATGAGGGTTATTTCGGACAGCATTTTTATGCTTGAATCAAAAAACGTGCAGTTTATTATTAAAGTATGTGAATATTTCTACTCAAACGTAATCCTTTAAAATTTATCATTAATCTTCACTTCGGTTGTAACGGTAAGTTCGGTATGTACACTGAATTTAGGCGAAAATTAGACAAATCGGCGGATATTCAGGCAAGAAGTAGGCAATTTGTAGACATAGCAACAAAAGGGGGAAAACCGCTTTATTTCCCCCGGACAGGCGAAAAAGGCGACATTTTGGCGCGTTTTCCCCTTTATTTCTTCTTTGTTCGCCTTTATTTCCCCTTTATTGGTTGCTTTGGTAATATCTCATGTGAATTGTTTGTCCAACTAAGGTTAGCATTAATTCCCCCAAGTTACATCTCTTGTAATAGCATAAAAACATAAATTGTAGGTCTCACTTTCAGAATTACCTACCATAAACTGTAGTTAGCATGATATCTGATTTTTACCACCGTTTGTAGTGTCATCATTATGCAAACGGCCTCTGTAGTCTACTTGTATGGGATATATTGAATATAGTGATATTGTTGCCAGAATCTTTTGATGTCAGGGAGCTAATCAAGGAGTTATTGTATTTATTTTTTTATTTCTACTTGAACACATAAATATTGGTACAAAGGGGCACCAGTTACATATGCGCCACACTAAAATGGATGTGAGTTGCCTGGATTTTAATTGCAGCACGAACAGTATTTCCAGTCATTATTGTCATTTTATTTTATTTGTGTGTGGGCTATGATACTGCTCGGGTGCCCAGACTGGAGCAGGTAGTTTCTTTGGAGGATCACACCCGGAGCGTCTGACCTAAAGGTCTGATCCACAAGGCAGTGGAGCAAGGTACGGAGATGCAGTCCCATGGTAACTGGTGACCAACAATTGGTTCATACGCCATTTGTTTCCTTAGGATCCTGGAGCTCATGTGCACCATTGGTTTGGAATCAGGGTTTTCCAACTCCCCAGGGTGGGTCCTTCATATCCATCAGCCCGGTTTAAACGCTGAACATTCACTTCTGTCCTCTCGATTTCGTAAACAACACCCCCGCCGCAAGAAGGCAGTGAGTAGTTCTCTGACAGTGGCTGTATACGCGTGACCGTGTGAGAGCATTTAATGAAGGAAAGCTGACTCTCCCCACCCTCGACCGTACCAGGGCATTTGGGGGCGGTTGTGTATTTAATTTATAGCACTGACTTTTGTGAAAGGCTAGTAATACTAATCATTTGTCTAAACTAAAGTAAGTATCGCAGAATCTGAACTTGCAACCTAGTAGATGAAAGTCAAATGCTTTAATCAATAGGCAACCAACTCATTAAGCGAACTAATCTCATACAATGCAAATCAGTTTTTGCTTTAAATAATCACCTGAATTAAATACCAATTCGTTGGAATATATATTCACAACTTTGTGACTAAGAGCATTCAAAAATTGGAAGGATTATCCTTTCTATTAGAGACTATTAATAATACACGTACCGGAAAAATGCCTTTTATTATACGGATAATTTCGACTATTCATTTCACTAAGAAATTAAATATGCTACCGCATATTACTTACTTACGCCTGTTACTCTTCATGGAGGAGCATAGGCCGACCACTAGCCCTCTGCATCCAACCCTGTCCTGGGCAATCCCTTCCAGCTGTTATTCATTCTCTTCATATTTGCTTCTATTTCCCGATGTAATGTGTCCTTTGGCCTTCCTCTTCTCCTCTTCTCTTCAAGATTCCGAGTTAGGGCTTTCCTCGTCATGCAGCTTGGTGATTTCTGTAATGTATGTTCTTTCCATTTCCGTCGTCTTTTCCTAATTTCCTCCTCAGCTGGAAGCTGTAGGCTGTTGCTGATGGTATCCGGCCAATGGAGTTCCATATGTTCTTTAATTGTAGGAATGCTTTCTTTGCTTTGTCAATCCTCGTCTTTACGTCTGCATCTGATCCTCCTTGCTCATCGATGATACTTCCCAGGTACGTGGATTCCAAATCTTTCAGAGTTTCGCCATCAAGTTTGATTTGGCTAGTGTTCTTCGTGTTGTATTTGAGGACCTTGCTTTTTCCTTTGTGTATGTTGATGCCTACTGCTTCTGAGGCTGCTACTACACTGCTTGTCTTGACCTGCATTTGTTGATGTGTATGGGATAGTCCAAATCGTCTAGTTGCATTCAACCTGTCCATTGTATTCCATGCTCTCCTCAGATGTCGAAATCTTCATAATCTAATCGACCACCAGAAGAAAGAGGAAGCGGGAGAGTAGACAGCCTTGTGGGACTCTGGTCCTTACTTGGAATGCGTTTATCAGCTGTCCTCCATGCACGACTTTGCACTGTAGTCCGTCGTATGAGTTCCTGATAATGTTGAAAATTTTCTCAGGTACTCGATAGTGTCGAGGTTTCCATAATGTTCTATCCACACTGTCAAACGCCTTTTCGTAATCATTGGAGTTGATGTATAGTGATGAGTTCCACTCAATGGATTGCTCTACGATGTTCCGTAGTGTCGCGATTCGGTCTGTGTACGACCGACCCTTACTGAATCCAGCTTGTTGATCTCAAAGTTGGGCTTATACTGCGTCTTTCATCCGGTCCAGCAGCACTCTGGTAAAGACTTTCCCTGGTACTGACGGTAGTGCTCATATCTCCTTTCTTTGGAATCTTGATGCTTTCCTTGTCCTTGACCGGTCTCTTTGGTTTACTGTACTTCTCTGCTAGTTTCTTCGTTGTATCATATAGTAGTTTCACATTTCCTTCTCTTGCAGATTTTTCTGCCATCGTTGCTAGTTCTTCCACGTATCTCTGCTTGTTGGCTTTAATGCTCTTCACGTGCTTGTTTGCTTCTGTGTACTCAGCTTGTGCTTGGACTTTCTCTGCCCGTGTTCGGCTGTTGTTAATTGCTGTCTTTTTGTTTTTCCTTTCCTTGATCCTGTTCAGTGTTTCTATAGAGATCCATTCCTTATGATGATGCTTCATTAGGCCCAGAACCTCCTGACACGTTGAAGTTAATGCTTCTTTGATACCTTTCCACTTGTCCTCCATAGTAGTTTTTTATTCCTTCAGTAGATTCTGTAAGGCTTGAAACCTGTTGTTGAGAGATATCTTGAATTCGTTGAGTTTGTTAGTATCTCGAAGGAAATCTGTATTGAACCTTTATAGTACTGTTTGTCTAGTTGTCCAGTGTTTCTTTAGCTTCAGTTTTAGGTTGGCCACGATTATGTGGTGATCTGAAGCTATATCAGCTCATCTCCTGGTCCTTACATCTTCCATTGTCCTTCGGAACTTTTTATTGATGCAATTATGATCTTTATGGTTCTCTGTAGTGTGGTGAGATCCATGTAACTTTGTGTATACGTTTGTATGGGAATATTATGCCGTCGATGACCAATTTGTTGAATGCACATAAATTTGCAAATCTTCCCATTTTCGTTTCTCTTCCTTCCCAGTCCATGTCGTTCCATGATATCTTCATATCCGGTGTTGTTTACTCCGACTTTGGCGTTTAGATCTTCCATCAGAATAGTGAGTTTTTTCTTGGGCACTTCGCTATGATTGATTGCAACTTATCGTATAATTGATCTTTATCGTCGTCGTTGCTTTCATTGGTGGGTGCATAACACTGAACAACATTCATTGTAATTCCCTCCTTTGTTTTGAATGATGCTTAGATGATTCTGGATCCGTGAGTTTAAATGGTTTAAATTATTTCTTCTGGTTAGCGTGTTTTTAGCGAGTTGGTTTGTGTGAATCTCCTAGGTCTCAACTTTTGGCCACCGTATTCAAACTATTGGAACTCGCAATAAGATGCTTCAATTTCGGCGACTACACTAAAAAGCCCAGGAAAAACCAAAATGGATAGACATATATCAAGCTAGCTCAAAGAACTACATATTATAAGGGGAACGCAAGAATAATGAAATGTTCGAAATTTAAAGGACAGTGAGTAAAGACATTATTACTACTGTCATAGATTAAAGTCTATGTCACCAAATTTGTGTTCATTACTTCAGAGTATCGGTATCACGTAATTTACTTGATAGCCTGATGTTCAGTGCCAAATAGATTTAAGTCTGCAGTTTTCCCACACAACAGGCTACTTAAACAGTAAACTACTCAAGTATTTAATATGTCGAAGTCGAGTGGCAATTATTTTTGTTTTTAGAAATGTACACTTTATTTGATTTTAATATTTATCAATAGCTTTGATTTATGGTCAAATATAAGGTTTGTCTATTTGTGTTTCAGTGTATCATCACTCATCACAACGCTCTTGCTCAACATTGCAAATGAGGCTGTAACGCGGCAGTTACGCACAGTTTTTATCCGAAAAGAGGCTATTTTAAAATATGATTTCGTTCACGTTCATGGTTGCAGTAAACTCGTTACATCTAATTGGGATAATGTCCATTTCGTGTGAGTTTGTGAATTCGTTATCTCGATTGAGCAAAATTGACTGTGTTAAAAACTAAATCCTCTACAATTTTGAGAAGTTTAAGGTTGTTAGCACGAGTAGGAAATACAATGCACTTAAATCTTCTCCAAGAAATCATTTTGTTTTCATTAACAGCTATATATTGCTCGACTGTGCAAAGCATCGTCCCTAGTGTTATTTTCATTAGTTAAGTCTGATATCTGTCTGTTATGATATCACAGGACTGCATGAGAGAGCAATATGACGCGCCAATAATCTTTTGTACCGAACAAATACCAGTGAGTACAAGTTCAATTTCTACCAGAGTTATGGTTCGGTGTTTAAATCATGCGACTCTCACCCAGTTAGTCACAGGTTCAAACTGTACCTCTTCTGTTCAGACAGTCACGTAGTATCACTAGCACTTACACATAAGGTTAAACTCGAAACTAATATAAATCCTTGTGACATATTCTAGTGGCACTATCAGAAAGTTTTTTATTTGAATTAATAAATAATATCATTATACTATTTCGTTCTTGTGTCTAATGAAGACATTTAATCACCTACAGATACCTACCTTCTGAAGATGCATTAATACATTGGTTTTCACATGTTCATATGGGAAGAGGATTTGCTGACGTTATTATTGTTGAAGGACTGGATCAGTTCGTGGAAAATGTAAGAAAAGTCATCCCAGAATAAATTTTGTTGCTTCTGTTGTGATTATATTCACTGCTAGATCGACTTTTCTGTACGTCTACAGAAACAAAGTTGGTTATGACTATTTTCATGTCATACGCGGGTCAAATCATTTGTTGTCTTCACTGGATAATATTTAGTTGAGTTTGTGTGTATGATAAGATCTAACGTGTTCACGGGTCCATATGTTTAGTTTTTAAACTTGATCAGTTATTCTTCTATGAGTGTGATCGAATATCAAGAACTTGAGTTCGTCTTTCGTTTTGTCTTTATTGTCGGTAAATGAAACATTATTATTATTAGTCATTATAATGCAGAGAAAAAACAGCACAACTAGGCACTAAAATGGACTAAACAAAATCAAATCTAAGAAACAAATATACTACATACTGACGTGGTCAAATTTGATGTTATGTATTTACAAAAGACATCCTAATATTTATGAAGAAAGCGTCGGTGAGGTCATCTCTCGTTTCAGCTCTGAACCACATTTGATAACATTCTCATCCAATAAGTTGGACGATTCTTAAGATCTCACTCAAGATTTTATGAATAATCAGAACAGAATCAGCGAATAATAACCCATAATCGCTTTCCGAAGCGCAGATCTTGTAGATATGTTAAATTAAAAGGTATTTTAAAGAAGAGTTATGTAAAACTATCTGTTAAGATAATATCGAACTTCCCAATCCAAATAAATATGGGGAAAAATCAGGCGAAGTTCCAAGCGCACTTCATAAAAATTGCATCAGTAGAGGAAATGATAAGAATATTTTTCCGAAGGTATCTGTTACAAGATTTAGTGAATATTGTCGGTTTTTAGCTTCCTATAAGTCTGTTTTATTTTTGTCTAATCGAAAATCTGTTTTTATAAGATCACCAGTTAAAATCAAATGAAGAACCACTGGAAATCAAAAGAAACTCAAATATTTCGTCACAGTGATCCTCTATTGGTAGGAACCCATCATGTTATATGAGGTTAAACCCTTCATACTGCAATCATAATTGCTTGAAATTGGTGAGTGACGATCATCGAATAGCATTCCGAGAGTTTTTGTGGCCTATTCTGGAGTTGGATACCATTCAAGCTGGCTGTCTTGTCTGCGTGGTAAGATTATTATTTGTTACGTTCGACACAGCGACTAATTCAACCTAATACTTGTCGTGATGTTATCATAACAGATATCAACCTACATAATGGCTTATAAAATATTCTTATTGCCACTTACCTGCGATAAATACGGTCTTTAAATTTGTCAGTTTCCAACAAGTCTAATAACATAATCTGCTAATTGATTAAAGTTAAGGATTGTGATCATCCTTAATCCATGTGTATTTCTTAACGTCGATCATTCATTAGTTTTAGATTGCTTACTGCTAGAGACTGAACATGTCCGACACTTTGTTTTCAATGGTTCTGTTCTCATTTTTAGTTCAGCGTAGAATTAATTAATCCTTCACGGGTTACTTGATTGACTAAAAGTTAATACTTTTAACAGTACTTCTTTATTCTGTGAACACGATGATTATTGCTTAACTTACCATTAAGGCATAATAATATTTGTTTAAATCTACTCTCTTTTAGGATAATGACGCATCATATATCATTAGATTAACTAATCTACTAGAAGATACTCGACAATTTATCCATAGTTTTACGAAAGAGACTGAGCACGGTCATAACTGTAAACTAATAGTGTCTTCCAGTCTAAAGAGTTCTCATACATCCAAAAAATCTGATCTTGCACAATATCATCGCGATACACTTCCAGCACATGCTATGATTAGAACGTTTTTTTTGCAGGGAGGAAGTAAGCATCTATATCTTATTATTTTTCCTAATAATTTTCGTGGAATCAAGTTGTAGTCAATTAAATTTAATGTAGAAAACTTATATCTAAGTCTGGTGATTGTTAGTTGTTTGGCTCGGTTTTTTTTTCAGCAAATGATCTTGACTTAAATTACCGAATTATTGAGTATATTCATTTTGAAAAAAACAAACAAAATATTTTCATTCGGTAACGAAGCAAACCGAATAGTCTAGTGATTCCTTGAAGTCCACTTGTAGGTTAAACAAGAGGTCATCTCTTGGTAAGTTAGCTTGAAATATATGGTAAATTGATCTACGCTTATTTTTTGGCTTTATACATATTTTGTTGGCTTTTATAATTGTTCACTAGTTGTGTCCAATCTGACCAATAACAGTTGAATTACGTTGATAGAGTCGTAAACCACAAGAAAGTAACTAGTATTCAGTTTTTCCATTCACAGGTTAATTGTTTATAGGTACGTATTTGTATTTATCGCATCCCATTTTACTGGCAATTAAGTAAATTTTAGAATGTTTAGCTGAAAAAATCAGTACTCAAAAAACTTATTTCGTTATATTCCTTTAGATGGGAGTGATTTATTTGACTTGTACTCAGTTGAGGATAATTGGAAGTTGAATTTAAAAAGACAATATGATGAAGTTTTCTGGACAACAAACCAATAAATTTTCAATGGATAGACAGAAACTTGCTTGGTTGTAAATAATCATTTTTCTATTTTTAAATAGAAAGTCGTTTTTACTGACTAGCTGTTCTGAGTTACTTATTTGGTACATGAAATCTAGTTTCTGATGAATAAATCAAGATTTAATTGCTCAAAAATAAGTGTTGGCGAGAAACTGGTCAGTTAAATAACTTCTTAAGTTATTCAGTGTTACTATAGTGTACCGTGGAGATTATGCGAAATGATTGATAGTTCGTTTTCTGATTAGTGTAGTGTTACATATGTTTTTTTCCCTATATTTCCTTCGTCTTCACTATCCCGTCACTGTAACCTCAATCTATGATTCCTTAGTCTGTAACTGATCAGTATCAAGAGCCGTATCATTTAGTCGCTGATAACTGAATTTCGTTTAGCCAGTTTACAATGTTATGATCAAAGTTTTATTCAGTGTTACAGTCTATTTAATTTAATCTTAGATGGATAGAAGTTATCGGGCAGTAGCTCCATATTTTGTGCTTGTCAGTACACATGCACAGATGTTAAATGCATTTATTTACCCTCAGAAATTCCACTATCTAATTAATCAGACACCTGATTGGATGCCGGCTCAGTAATCTAAGTGTCATGTGTTCGTCGCAAAACTAAGGGTCTTGAGTTCGATCGCTTTTGGAGTCGTGACTGTGCGCTGATGAAGAGCTCCATACTAGGACGAAACAACTCATCAGAACTTCCTGGTTTCCAGTTGTTGACTAAGTAAGATCAGTCCTTGATGTAAATTACGAAGACACGTAATCATTAAATCAACAATACTGGATGGAGATCTGAGTTTCCTTGAAGTTATTGACACATCTTTCGATTACCTTCAATTGTCACTTGTCAATCCATTCTGCTATTCTCATGATAAGCTAATTTCGAAACAGTTACAATCAAATATGTCTTGTCAAGGTTGTATGTCAAAATGAATCCCAACATGATTACTTTACATTGGGTAGCTGGATAATCTATCCAAAACTTACTACTATATATACTCTCTGGGTTATCTTTCCACTAAACACACATGAACTTATCAGTGGTCGGTTAATAGGACTTCCTACATTGGGTCTTTTTCCTTTATCTGGTTAAAGTTAATTAAATGTAAGAAGTTTGTGTTTGTAACTTGGTTGAAACACATCAAATTGATGGAACATCCATAGGTAGCACCCTGGGCCCAATTCTGGGTGATATATTTATAGGGAACCTTAAACAGATGAAGCGTAAGCGCACAACCGAAGGAAGTACATTGTATTGTAAACATTAATGAGACATTTCATGTCTACAACAATCGGAAGCATTCCGTGTACCTACTCAATCTGTCTAACAAAACATACAACCATAGGTTTTACTATGGAACGTGAAGTGGAAGGTAAATTCCATTTCTTGGATGTTGGAATCAAGCGAACTTCAGATGACATACTTCGAAGACACAAGCACCTCAAAAGTGCATGGATTAGAGTTTATCTAAATTACAACAGCTTCTGTCCAATAGGTTACAACAATTGGATTGTATGAACCGTTTCTGACTGCGCTCGTAAAACTTGCTCAAAGGAAAACCTGAAAGAAAAACTTACCTTCATTACAACCCGCCTGCGTGAAAATGCATATCCAGCAAAATTCATCGAGAAGTATGCAAAAACCAACGGACGTATCAAATAAGTACAGTAGGAAAGAAAACCTGTTTTTCATATTTGCGTTTCAAAGGAAATGAAATTACTGAAATGATGAAACTTAGGATAGATGCTGCGATGAACGTTGCTTATCCATCGGCAGGACCGACGAAGTTATATGAAATGAACTGCTCACTCAAACATACAAAGATTGACAGGTCCACTTTTCTCAGTACTTCCAAATGAATTTAACAGTATACATGTACGTCTCAAAGTGCATGCATCGGAAGAACAAAGAAAATAGTATAGGTTCACACTTTCTATCACGTTTCAGGGAATTCGAGACTGATAGTCACTATGGCTTCATATTGTGCAATAGCTCGGCATTTGATTGATACTGAGCACACCACTGACAGTACACAATCCTCTATAATTATCAGTGGACAAAAAGCACCGCGTCTCCGGTTTACTGAAGCAGCAACAATAAAGAAACTCGAACCTTGATAAATTACTATTGTCATTATTATTATCAGTACTTTAATAGTGCTTATTTTATTATGTGGTCTTGGCCAAACTAATTCTTATTTTATGTACACCAAAATCATCCCTTCATTCATCGGTTTTTTCATTCACTTAGTTCTCAAAAAATTATGCAAACTCTTCAAATTCTGGTTAATTGCTACGTAACCCATCTTATTAGTTTCTAATTCAAAACAATTACCGTTGATGATACGACTGATCTATTTCGTACTGAAATCAAGAATGGATGCATGATGGCAAAAGTCAGGAAGCTCTTATCAGATAGTTTTCAGTCAGTGATACAGATAAAAGAGCGCATGAATCCACACCAAATGGTATCCAATTGAATCCATACAAAACGGTAGTTGGATGTCAACAGCATATAATAACTACCCATACTCCGAAACGTATCCAGTTATAATTCAGTAGGGGAAAGCCATATGCTGTAAACTACTCAGTCACAATTAGTTCTCAGTGTCGTGGAAGAACCATTAGTTTTACAACATTATGGTTTTTATTGCTTGGAAATAGAGAAACGCACTAGGTTATGTGAAGTTTAGGAAGGCAAACTTTAGGAATGCTGACACATTAAAAGTACTGCAGAAAAACTCCATAGATTACAGCTTCCCTAGTATATTTGTAAATACACGAGTTATATGAATGTAGTAAACTTCATCTACTTCAATGAATAAATTCAGAACTTTAAAAAAGCTAAACAGTCTGACTTGAATTTACAGAGTAGAACTGTGATTTTTTAAATTTGCGAAAATTAGGATGTATTCCACATTACGTTTGCATTTACCTAGCATATGAAGTTAACCAATACTAGGACTGGAAGATAGCTGTTAATAGGTTTGATTTATGAAAAGAACCTTGCCACCACATTTTCTCTAAGATTTGAAAGAAATTGATAAAAATATTCAAGTTAAACTTCCTTTTAATTTGAAAGTATACAACATCCGTTAGAATCTGCAGAATTGACGCATACTAAAACTCGTTAATTTTAGTATAAAGTCAATTGTGTAGTTGGTCGAATGTATTCCCTGCTGAAGTTTATCGTAGCTTAATGTTTTTCTCGCTAACAACCCTGTTGATTGTTTTCGTCAAAATGTATCCCTTAAAACTTTGTGAAAAATCAGTAATTCCAATATTGGAGACATGTAGCATTTATTTTCGCCATCTGTGTGGTAACAAGAGGTTGGTTGGAATTCTAAAAATACTTATTTCATTATTTATAGTCTGGGTAACATTTGTAAATTTTTCATAATGTTGAAGCCACTCAGCTTTCAGTCGCTGAGTCAGATGTTCGAACTTCTCTCTATCTACATAGGTTTGGACAATTGGAAAGTAAATACACTGCCTCTCACAAAACCAGTGTTGTACGAAGCTGAGTGTATGAATCTTATCCATAACATTAATTGGGAACTAAGCAGGTATTCTTTTTCAGGCGATTCTGACTGATAGTTTGTTGGTGCTCGTTATCTATAAAAGACTTTTTAAGAAATTGCTCGTCAAACATATTACCTACCACAGATTTGAAGTCTACATTACTGTAGTACATCTGTTTGCTTTTTGAAGCTATGAAATATAGCACTTATTGGTAAACGTGCAAGAAAATGATGTTAAGAGTTTGATAATATTAACGGTTACATTCGGCGATTGTAACCACACAGATAGTTTAGGTCCAGGATCGCTAGTAAATTAATGATTCTAAACGTCAAACACTTTGCTTGAACAAAATAAGAAAACATAACATGCGTATGTAAATGTATAACGTGTCGTGGAACTTGTGGTCCGATTGTGTTTCGATATTCTTTCAATATAAAGGTTCGTTTAAAAATTCACTGATGTCAGCTAGATTACTATTGAAAGTCCAGTACTGAAAAACTGTTCCATCGTAGAATCTATTACATCAGCAATGCTTATTCAGGGTTAAATCCAAGATTTCCAGTTCTCACAGTTTGTAAGATATTACTCAGTCGCTTAATACAGGGGTCAGCTTTTGCAACCTCAGCATTTATCAACGGAACACAGTCATCACCGAATATCATCGATGTGCACACAACTTCCTTTAAATTTATTAGACTTTAGGGAGGGAGATTACCGGCCTAAGCTTTGTCAAACTCATTTCAAAACAAGCCTATAACGAGGTGGATTACTATTGAATAAGGCTTCGATAAAAATAAATTTTATTAAGTATATTTTCAATCGCAGTCTAAGATCAGCTAAAAATCAATAAAGACCTGAATATGAAACAAAACAGCAAATATATGGTCCTATATACTTTCAATGGCGATTCGTAATGAGAATGATTTGAAAGTGGTAAGTAACTTCATGTTTTCCAGTACACAAAACAATACAAATTATTTTTAGACGCAAAATCTATTTACCATAAACCCTATTCGATAATTAGACTAAAAGAAACAGTACAGAACAGAAGGCAGTTTGTATTATAATGAAAGACGTTTTTTTTTGTTTCTAACTCTTGTTTTTTTTTTTACAGTTTATAGAAATATAGAAATATTGCATAAGCTGAATGCAATGTGAAGAATAAACCTGTCTGTTATTTGTACATACATTTATTCATACAGGAACACAATAGTGATTTGTGTAGTTTGTTTAAAAATGAAGTGCGAATCAAAAGATTTTAAAATATAAGATACATATCATTTTCAATTAATTAGTTATTTCCATTTTCAATCTAATAAATAGTTTGCTTTTTTTCATCTGTAAACAAAATGAAATAGAATGAAATCATAAGGAAACTTATAAATTAATCACTTTATCTGAACTTTGGTAATGTTAAATAATAGAATTGATTAAAATGAAGTCAGAGCGC